CACACACACACACACACCACACACACACAAATATTAAAAAAAAACTTTGTTTTGCATGTCTGTAAATGTGAATTGTGTTCATGTTACAGAGCAAACAAACTATTGCTGCTAATGCTGGTCTTGCCAACTGCTGGGTACACCAGAGAGGCTGATAGTTAAGCTATCACATATGACCTTCACTAGCATACGCAGTATCTTAAATCTGTCTCTGGTCTTAAATTACATTCCACATATAGCAACTTCTCTCTAGATGTCCAATATTCCTCATAAATTTCTCTTAGTATATAAGGCAGTGTTGTTATTAATACTTGTTTAACAATATCAACTTTGTACGTTGTAGGGATGAGGACATGGACGGCGAGTGGGAAGCACCACAAATTAGTAAGACTTTCTTATTTGTGATTAAACATCATGAAAGTTAAAGATCTAGAAGAAATATTACTAAATATTCTTTGTGGACATTTATACAGACATTTGTATCTGTCCTGGGTGTCTTATCAGGGGAGATAGTGGATGATGAATGATATCTACTAATGGAATCAAAATAACTAAATTTAATCACCATCTTTTAAAATAAAGATTAAATATTGTACAAATAAATTCTTGATAAGGCCCATACCTTAAAGACTAATGTATTTAGTATTGTAATATTGTGCTTATGTAGACAGTGCTTGTTTTTATAGTTCCGTGGTGGTAATTTCAGGCAACCCCAAGTGTGAGGGTGCCCCAGGGTGCGGCAAGTGGACCCCACCCACCATCAAGAACCCCAAGTACAAGGGCAAGTGGTCTGCACCCAAGATTGACAATCCCAACTACAAGGTAAATGGTTATAAACTATGTTAGATTATGTACCTTATGTTGAATGAAATATAATCCTGTATAATGTTACAAGTTCAATCATTTTCTGTTTCATTTGACCATGTATTAAACAACCATAAAATTCAGCAATCCTGAAAGAAAATGCCAAAGTTTATAAATAAGTACAAATGTTATAAACATGTAATGATGGAAGTTGTGTGTATCCTTTTTTTGCAGGGCAAGTGGAAACCAAGAATGATTCCAAACCCAGACTACTATGAAGATCTCACTCCATACAAAGTGACCCCATTTGTAAGTCCAGTATAGCATGATTCCTACTTAAAAAATGTCAAATTCAACATGGGATATATGAAATTGCTTCATTTATGAAAGGTCCAGCAACATTAAAAGTCTTCTGGATCAAATATATCTGGATATTAAGGTATTGTATTTATGCCCCTTCCCCTCCTTCCCCCATATAGAGCTTCACACCTCAGTGCTTACATTTTTTAAGGCCACTTTCCTCTCTGTACAAAAGTACTGCATATTACTTTCAAACAAGTCAGTGGTTGTTACTGTGAGATAAAAAAATTTGATGCATCAAACTGGAATTTCTATCTGCTTTTTAAACTCATTTTCAATTTTCTAGTCGGCTGTAGCATTAGAGCTTTGGACAATGACAGAGGACATTTTGTTTGACAACTTCATCATCACAGACAGCAAAGCCACAGCAGACTCACTTGCTGAACAGACCTGGGCTTTGAAGAAGAAGGAGGAGGAGAAAAAAATTAACTCATCAGGAGTAAGATTGTGAAAAGAAATATTCAAGATTTTATCATTTAACTTTTTTATTTTATTATTATTAACTCATTTTACTTTTAGGAATCATAAATAGCAGAAATTGAAAGTTTAGTGCTTTTTATTTGATATAAAATAGTCGAGGCCAGTGGTGAATTTCCATTAATGTTTCAGTTTGCAGTCTCTCTGCTAAAATATCCTTCAAGACAGGAAAATAGAATCAAATTCATGATATTGCATTGGGGGTGTTGAATTTCAAAGTTTGTTAAAGATCGATAGTATATGTTTGAATTTTTTTCTTCTTTAGCTTATACATAAGCTTTATGGACAAGCATTTTCTTCAACTGATCCATTTGTTTTCAGAAAAGTGTTATAGATGCAGTCATGGATGCTGCACAAGAGCGTCCCTGGCTCTGGGCTGTTATTGCCCTCGTAGTAATCCTCCCAGTTGTCTTAATAGTAGCATATTGCTGTATGTCCTCTGATAAACCATCTCAGGTAAGAGGGCGAGACTGATTTGAGTCCTGTCAGCAGATGTGAGATTCAGTGGGGTCAAGGTTGTATCAAATGGATCGTGGGATAGCTGGCCTACAAGTCTTCTGAATGGCTGGAAAATGTTGAAAAAAGGTTGCTTAAGATAAGCAAGCCAACACCATTTTCTGTCAAGCGGTTACCCCCACTGAGTTTCACCTTGCTGATGTTTTTATCATTTGTTTTTCAACTGTGTGTTTTCTTCTGTAGGTCGGCATATTCCGACAGTTAAAGGATGCTGCTGAGGAGCGTAAATGGCTGTGGGGTGTTTACGCATTTGTTATTCTCATGCCTGTAGTTGTTTTATCAATTATTTGTTGTCCAAACAGAGGCCCTCTTAAGGTCAGTTTGGCCTTTGTTTATTTTGTTATTTATCTTTTTCATTTATTTCCTCTGAAACGAATTTATCTATTTATTCAAAATTGCATTGAAAATTCTGATTTCGTGGAGAATTTGAACTTGGAGAATTATTTGTGTCCAAATATCTGTTGTCTGAACCTTTTTAAGTTTTAGTTTTCTTTAGTTGGTTGCATGATTTTTACTCACTTAGAGCAAAAGTAACAACAAGTATAGTATATGAATCTGATTTGTTAGAATAAAGAAACCATTGCTTTTTTCCACCAAGCAAGACATTTTATTTGAGAGATTTTTGAGAAGTGAATGTTTCTCATCACTACAGTATGAAAGTGTTTCTTTTCCCAGAAAAAGCAGCGAGTAAAATTCCCTTTGAATGAAAATATGTGCAGATTGAATACATTATTTTTCATACTTTAGGTTGATGACATTGCTGCTAGAAAAAAATTTGATGATGAAAAGACAGAAGCAGAAGAAGAGAAGGAGGAGGAAAAAGCTGGAGAGGAAGAGAAAGCAGGTAACATTTCTGTTTTGAATTGATATGTTTTTTAATTCTTGACAAGTAAATTAAGTAGTAGAAAAGGAAACATGATTATTTTGCGCTTCCAAAAGCTTAATGCAAAGGAATTTTAAAGGATATTTTGAAAGCGACCAGCACATCCTTTAATTTTAAAGAATGCAGAGAAGTCTAGTTTTGTAAGTTGATATCTACAGAACAGTGTGATATTTTCTTAAAATAAAGTGATGTAAATTGATTGAATGATCTTAAATGTGCTGAATAAACTGTGACAATTAAGTTTGAATTTTAATTAATTAATTAATTAAATTATTTATTTATTTATTTATTATTATTTTATTTTATTCATTTATTTATTTTTTGAGACCATTTACTAAATTGTATTTTTTGTATTGCAGAAGCTAGTGAAGAAAGCAAGGCAGGTGGAGATGCAGGAACAGGTGTGAGGAGGAGGACAAAAAAAAGTGACCTAGAGGTAGAGGAGGAGGTGAGTTGTCTGTACATAGTCTGATCACCTCTGTCTCTTTATGGTGTACCTGACATCTAGCTTGACCAAAATTTACATTATATATTCCAACATGTGTATTGACAGTGAAATTGATTTTGATTATTTAGCAACAGTTTTATTATCTTAAAAAACTGTTTCAGAACAAGGAAGGTGATGATGAAGAGGAAGAAGAAGAAGAGGAGGCTAGTGAGTCACAAAGCAATAGTTCACCAAGGTAAGCATTTTTTTACCATTTAGATGTACAGTTTATTTCTTACAAATTACAAATTAATTATGGTGATGTGTTATAATAGATAAAAAATAATGTTTTAATAATGAAACAAAAGAAGTAACCATTTTCTGTACAGTGTATACAAAATACTTGTCATTATAAGTTTAATGGGTCTCATATTTTTGACATGATTAATCAGAACTGTGGAGTAGGCTATCATTTTTTTCATCAGATACATATTCATGAGTCTTTTAATATTTCTATTGGAGTGAAAAATTTAATTTAATCCTATCTATGTTTTTGCCTTTCAGAAAATCTCCTAGGAAAAGAAAACCAAGAAAGGACTAGGGTATAGCAGCAAGAAAATGTAGTTAGATAAGAATAAACAATTACCGTGATTTCAATATTTTACAAACAGTGGGCATCAATCAATTTTTACAACAAGTCTTGTATATACTACTACATGAATTGAGCTTGCTACTTTTGTTACTTTGAATTTTGTTAACTTTCTGTGTCTGTGTCTTGTGATTGTCAGACTGCTGAGGTTGGACTTTCTAAATGTTAATTATTACATACAACTGACTGTCATTGGGGAAATCTAAAATGACAAATCTTTTTGCTATCTTTGTTGATATTATTGTCCAAACCATTGAAAAAAAAACCAAGGTGTATAGAAATTTAGTGTGTTTTCAATTTAATTAATTGTTAATGGAAAATAAAAATTGGAAAAAAAATGGACATGGTTTTTCTAATTTAACTTTTCAGGCAGTGTGTTATTCGTATTGAGCCACTGTCACGTTATTATGTCCTCCTATATTTATACTACTTACCTTTCCTTATTAAGATCTTAAAAGTCATATAGCACCTCAAATAAAAGTAAATGTATTTCCTGAAATTTCAGGAAGATCATGGCAAGTCTAATATCTGGTCAAATACTTTGAACTAAATAATTTAATTAGAAATTTTATAAAATATTGTTCATAAGTGTAAGAACTGGTTGAGCAGCAGTCCTTGAGTTGGAAAAATTGCCTTTTTTTCTTCAGGAAAATTTGATTTAAATATCCTACTGTCTTGATTTATATATCCATGCTTATTATAATACTTGGCACATTACTAATTTCAGATGTGAGCTTTTTCTGCAGAAAAGCCGAATTTCGCTTTTTTTTTTTAAATTCAATTTTGATGGTTCCTGAATTCGTCAAGGTTTGGTGTTGGGTCCTGTGATAAATGTTCTAAGATGTTTTTTTTTTTTAACCTAGGCTTGTGTCTGAATAATTTGTAAGAGTGTGTCAGTTAATCTTATAGTATTTTTACACCATTTCAATGGAAAGAGTTTTTACTTTGGAAAAAGGATTGATAAAAGTTAATCTGTCCTGAAATGATTTCTGATAATGCCCTGAAGTAAAATGAATAATCAGAAAAACAGCTGTTGCTTTGGCACACATCACCTAGCTTGACCACAAACATTAAGTCCTTGAAAATATTATTGTAACAGTTGTGCATTGCAACTTTCCTAAAATGTGAAACTATAGGCTGATAAGTGGGAAATTAAAAGCTGATGGAGGAACTGGAAAGATTTATTTATGAAATAATATTACTGGTACATAAAACTAATTTCTTGAAAGACAACTTGCTGATGGTACTCTAAAAAACATTTCCACGGCTTCAGTGTAATTTATTAACTTGGGGATTCTAATGTTTTATTGACCTATTTGAAGTGGGATAAGCTTGGTTTAATTTAGTCTGAATCAAGCCTTCTCTTCCAATTTTCCACTTCATCATCATCAGTGACAAGTCATTTTTTATGGTGCCTCTGAACTTCCTTTGTAATAGGCAAGTTTTAGCTTAATTTATCAGGCAAGTGCAAAATCCATTGCAGAAAGTTCAAAAGGGCACTATTCTTTTAATATGTGGATGCCATATGGAATAAAAGACGGCCTTAATTGGAGTAAATAATATAATATAATATTGATACATACTCTTACACAAGATTACAAATAACAGGATGTCCTGATGAAAATTTCTGTTCTAGAGTTTGATTGTGAATAGATAAGTTCCATGAAAAATGATGTCATGTTTGATCAAATTAGATTCCATGAGTTGAATGGGGAACATTCAACTTTTCCGATGTATTACAATTTTTATTTTAAATCATATTTGGAGCTTGAAATAAAAAAAAAATTCTGGTAAATATTAAACAAATGATAAAGTATAGTTTGATTAAGAATCACTAAGACAGACCTGACCAATCCATCTTATCATTGTGTGAACATGACCAGAGTAAACAGAGTCTCTCCAGGTGTATACACACACTGTGTGCTTAACAGGCAGGGAGAGGAATTTTCAGCCATGCCTTTTCCAAGTACTGGATCTATACCAGGCATGAGTCACCTACACTGCTGTGATGAATACATGTAACCACAGAGGCTTTTATATGTCTGGGTTGGTTTTGCTGTTCTCTTTATAACTGCTGTGATATCATCATATACACATGGAGGAGGACGTTGTAAGTCTGTTTTTTAATTTTTTTGTTGTTGTTGTTGTTGTTGTTACTTTATTAGTTCTAGGACTTCATCAGCTTCTTCTGTGTTGTTTAGCTTGTATATTTAAACCAATTATTTTCTGTTAAATGCTTAGACTGGATCTCTCTCTCTCTCTCTCTCTCTCTCTCTCTCTCTGTTCATATGTCTGCCTGTTTGAGAAGTTCATCAGCGGCCATCAAATATATACATCTGTGCATATCAACCTGTTTAATTGGATCAGCCACTAATTTATGTACCAGGCTCATTCATTCCTACATCAACACATGTTCCCCAGACTGCAACTTGGCAGTACTAAGTACATGCATATGATGACTAAACTGGTCCATGCATATTGCATGTTGATATATATATATAGTTGTACTGTATAACATGCATCAGCCAGTACATGATTTACCTGTCCAAATATTTCACGCAGACCTCTTGGTGTGTGTGTGTGTGTGTCATAGTGGTTCTGATCTCAAGGTTGATATACTGCATACATCTACATGTAGGTTACATAAGAATTAGGGTTTTAACCTGCCTTGTCCTCAATTCTATATGATTTCAGTAGGAGATATAAAGGAGAAAGTATCTGCTGAGACTAAGTTAATTGATGGAAATCATAATGTGAAGAAGGGGGTTATCTCCTTCATTGTGTTTGATGCCCTTTACTGATAGTATTATCTTTGTATATTATGAAACAATTTAACTTAATTAACTGCATTTCCAGAAATCTTGTGAAATTAATAGACCGACAACTTTAGCAATGTCCACCTGTGAAGAAAGAAGTGCTCTCAGTGGTATGTTTTATTTACATTTATAATTTCTTTTTGTTTTCCAATTTTCTTTATTTCTGTTTATAGTTGAAGCATTCATTTAAACTTTGATTTTTATTATTTGCCGATTTATCAGTTTCAGTTGTTATATTCTGAAGAGTTTTCAGTATTATTGTCATTCACTTAAATTTCTTTCGTCATATATATTAACAAATTCTAAGTATGTCCAATGGGCAAATTAATGTAACTTATTAAAAATTTTACATGATAAATGATAATAAATATATGCGATACATATTTCTTATGAAAACAGATTGCAGTGATTAATGCCTGACATTTCATTGAAGGGTTTGGAAATCCACTCTGTACTCCTAGAGGGGAGGAAAACACATCCCCTGGGCCAACAGGAGTGTCACCAGAGTCACAAGAACTGTCACCAAGGTCCCAAGAAAGACTAAGGCAGCTTAAAATAGATTTGTCACAAGGGAAAGGTGTGTCAGTGTTTTACGTGATAGCTTTGGACCCAGTGTTGGACAGTTTGGTACTATAGTAGCCTGATAGTGAAGTTTTAAAAAAAATTTTTTTTGATTATCAGTATCATATGATTAATCACATTTTAATATACCGTGCAATACATATCAGTATGGAATTCCCTGATACTAATTAATATTGTTATAGTAATGATATTTGGAGGCATTTAATTGGAATTTAGATCATAATTGAATAAAACTACTCACTTGGATTTGATAATGATTAATCTAATTAAGTTTCTGCAAAACAGTAATTCTACAAAGTGCTGCATTTCAAAAACAGGTTCATTATTTATCATTACATACAATATATCTTGATTTTCAGCTAAACTTGAATATGACAAGAATAACAAAGTCCATGTGAATTACTGTGATGATAAATCTGGCCAATTCAAGTATGTCATATGATTTGTAGGACACATATTCAAGACTATTTTAATTGTTAATTAATAAAGTTTTACATAAACTTTGAAAGATTTACAAATCATGTCTTCATTTGTTTTCTTAATGAACCAAGAAATTGATTGTAGCTAATAAATTCAAATTGGTATGCCATCAATGCTCATACATTTATAAATAATGTTTCTCAATCAGCTCTAATTTTCAAAATATTCATTTGAAGAATGAAAGATATTGGCAAAGTATTAGAAACTGACCAGGAAAATAAAGAAGAGGTGTTGAATCGTGTAATGCAGGTCATTGAGTTCATGAAATCCCAAAATGCACCACAGGGTGTGGCTTTAAACTCTGCAAAGGTACGAGTAACAGAGAAGAATATGAAAAAGGCTTATATATCTTATTTGAATTATTTCTTGTGATTTAACAACATATTTTTGATATAATGTAAAGACTCATTTTCAAGATTGTCATATTGGCAGGTAATTCCTGATCTCAATCTTACTCTATATTAATTATTAGCTTTCATTATGGAATATCTTTTTGTAAGTCATAATAGAAAACAATGTTTTGTATGGACAATGTTTATGCATAATTGTTTAACAAACTCTGCTGACCTAGCTATCATCCCTAATCAAAATAAGTGAAAAATAAAAATAAAAATGCCAGTCTAGCTAATACTTAAATATTTTAGACTAAACCACAGTATGGATACTATGAAAAAGGTCAGCATTATACAATGAACATGGATCAAATTTTGGGAGGAGGAGTACATGGGAAAGTTGTTATGGTCTATGATGAAAAAACTGAAGAAAAGTCAGCCTTTAAAAAGGTATGTTTTAAAAAGATGTAATTTTAGTCCTAAAATGCTGCAGATTTTGAGTGTTTGATGCTAATATATATGTTGATTTATTCCTTGAAATTTCAATGGGAATCTGTTAAATTGTTTAATTTTACTCAATGCACTTAGTATGTCGTGTAAGTTGATGAATGGGGAAAAGCTGCTGCTCTTACTTACTAGTTATTTCTTTTTCTTTTCTTTACATTTTATATTATTTCATATCTCAGGTAATGTTACTAGACTTCAGGGAGGAGGAGATAAGAGCTTGGGTGGCTATGGAAGATAATCCACATTTTCCAGAGCTGTACATGCTAAAAGTAGAGGGAGATAAAGTATTATTATTCATGGAACCCTTACAGCCAAGTAAGCCTTTACAGTTGTTTTAAAATCTTTGAACATACATATATAGATATTGAACTACAAATATATCCAACTATGAAGGGTGTGCATACACATATCATGAAATTTAATTAAAATATATCATTTTTTTTTACTGTATTAATTTGTTTAATTATTTGTTTATTTATCTTAGAAATAACTTTGACTGAAGTCATAGACCAGTATTTTTCCCAGCTTCAACAACAAGGTCCAGCAGCCCAGTGGTCATTTTCCATCTTTGTGGTCAAAGGTCTACTTGAAGCCATCCAAGCTCTTCATGAAAAGGGATACACACACAATGATCTTCACAGTGAGTTACAAAAACTTAGATAAAGCTGACAGTGAAAGTCATTGGAATATCTAGAATGTGCCAGTTAAAACCATATAAATGTGTCAGATATCAAGTTCACGCAGTCAGCCATTCGACTTCCTGTCAGCACACAAATTGTACACGTATGTTTTTCGAGGAATGTTCACAGTTATTTCCTTATGAGGCATTAAACGGGATTTTGAAATGAAAAAATGAACATATTACAAATTGCCATTCTTTTAAAGCTTATACAGTATATTAAATGACTGTATTGGTTTTGAAACTCTAGCATGCAACAGACTAGGTTATATTATTTAAGAGAGTTATATACGTGTATCTTTGACTTACATGTGTAAAAGCACAGACTGTGCTAACCATGCAAAAATAGTTTTAAGACAGCTTAATTCCCATGCCTTTTTTATTTGCAATTTATAGACACTTAAAGTCAATTCTGCAACCATACATTAATTTGTATTATATAGATTACTTTTATATTTTTGCAGCTGGCAACATTCTCCTTGAAGACACCAAGTCTAGTATGGAAGTCAAGGTTGTTGACCTTGGCCTTGCTGAGGTCATTCCTAATCCACTGACAGTGACCAGCAAGGCCAAGGTCACAGATGACCTGTGGAACATCCTGAGAACTTTCATTGCACTTTGTGCTGGGTATACATTTGAATCCACTTATGAAATGACAAAACACTGGAGGGATGCATTACATTATGTAAGTTCATTATGTTGAAAGACAATGCATGGGTTTGCAGAAATTGGAATTAATTCATTCTTGGTTTAGAAACATTTTGACAAGAAACATTTTTGCACCTCGAAATGATTGCATGCATTGAATCTTTTCTAATTCACTATTCTTTTTTTAATCACGGCAAAAAAATCTTATAAAATAAAAAAAAAACTTTTTGCTCTTACAGAGTTGGGGGGAAGGGGGGCTCAAAAATTAAATGACCTTTTTACAAAAATGGCATAGAACTTAGATAAAATGTTCATTCTGTTCAAAATATTAATTAACCTTAACCTGAACTTCCTTATATATTTTCAAGGTTGATGAATCATTTCGTAAAGAATTTGAGGAAATTGTTGCTTTTTGCATTGATGCTGCTTTAAACTTTGCTACGGAGCTTCCAGCTGGAAAACTACTTAATAAATTGAATGAGGCTGGAGACATTGCTGAAGGTGAAATTTTTTTTAGATATTTAAGTATCGAATAAATAAGTATTTTGAAACAAGTTTATTCTGCAAGTATACAACACTTTCACCATTAGGCAAAGGCAGAATAGGCACCGGCCTTGTCTATGATTTTCCCAGTTGATTCATTAATTTGTTATTTAGCTGACCCAGTAAGATTGGTCTGAACCCCTACCGTTTGTTCTAAGATTAATTAAAGGGATAATAACTTTTCGTATGAGATCTATATTTCACAAAAAAAATTTTCAGAAAAAAAAAACAAGGACTAATTAACTTTGAATGTAAAAATGGATTCATTAACCATTGGTAAGTATGGGAAAATTGTTGTTTACTCCAGGAAAATTAATTTTTTGGCCAAAACGAAGTTATTATCCCTTTTATAACCTTATTCTATATACCATCAAATGGCTCTCTTTCCCCCTCTTTCTTTCTTNGGGGCTCAAAAATTAAATGACCTTTTTACAAAAATGGCATAGAACTTAGATAAAATGTTCATTCTGTTCAAAATATTAATTAACCTTAACCTGAACTTCCTTATATATTTTCAAGGTTGATGAATCATTTCGTAAAGAATTTGAGGAAATTGTTGCTTTTTGCATTGATGCTGCTTTAAACTTTGCTACGGAGCTTCCAGCTGGAAAACTACTTAATAAATTGAATGAGGCTGGAGACATTGCTGAAGGTGAAATTTTTTTTAGATATTTAAGTATCGAATAAATAAGTATTTTGAAACAAGTTTATTCTGCAAGTATACAACACTTTCACCATTAGGCAAAGGCAGAATAGGCACCGGCCTTGTCTATGATTTTCCCAGTTGATTCATTAATTTGTTATTTAGCTGACCCAGTAAGATTGGTCTGAACCCCTACCGTTTGTTCTAAGATTAATTAAAGGGATAATAACTTTTCGTATGAGATCTATATTTCACAAAAAAAATTTTCAGAAAAAAAAAACAAGGACTAATTAACTTTGAATGTAAAAATGGATTCATTAACCATTGGTAAGTATGGGAAAATTGTTGTTTACTCCAGGAAAATTAATTTTTTGGCCAAAACGAAGTTATTATCCCTTTTATAACCTTATTCTATATACCATCAAATGGCTCTCTTTCCCCCTCTTTCTTTCTTTCTTCTCTCTCTCTCTCTCTCTCTCTCTTTGTCATTTTGTGTCTGGTCTGATTTTAAAATTCAGGAAATTATATTAACATTTTATTTCAGACCTGAAAGATTGCATGAGTGTTTTGAAAGGTATCTTCTTTAGTGATGGTTTCATGCCAATTCACCCAGATCAGACAGACAAGGTAATTTTCACTACATTAATGTAATATAAAAAATAAGATAAGAAAATTGTCATTTTTTAAATGTAGTTATTTTTGATCAAGGCAATGTGTAGTCTATTAGTTCAAGTTTTTAACCAAACCAAATATTTGAATTCTGTTTTCAAGGAAATAAAATGCAGATTTTTATCTGCTGTTTGAATAGAAGAATTGATCTAAAAAATCTTCAACACACAGTGTTTGAATTCATCTATTTATAATTACACCTACTGGTATCTTTAACAATATTCTGATTTTTCACTTAGACGACTGCAGAACCCCAGGCTGTCTTTGGGGTCAATGACACACTGAGCAAGGAAGTGCATATGAATTTAACTGAGGAGCAAAAAATCGCAATTGAAAAGCTTTTCAAGCAAAAAGGATGGTCAAGTCCGGTAATTTACCTTTTTAAATTATTTATGATATGTAAGTCGTGAAAATTTTGACATTTGACCCCACAGAAAGATGTTGTTGTTTAAATGCGCAAAATCTGTCCACCCTGTGACTTTGAAATTCCCCCTCTATAATGCTATGCCTGTATCATCCTAGATCTATGTTAAAAAAAGAAATTTTGTTTACCATCCCTGTTTACAGAGAGTTGCCATTTGTTAACCAACTTATCAATTTTGTATGACCTTATGGTATATTAGCTACTACATATTTATCAGTAACTCATGTTTTATTTTAAAATTTCTGATAGGAAATATAGAAAACATCTCAAATTACAGCTTCATTTCTGACCTTTTAATTTTCAGATTAAATGTGAAGAATCAAGTGTCCTGGAAAGAAATTTCAATAAGATGGATCTTTTGGAAACGGTAAAAGCCTTCAATTGTACAGCTTTAATTGATGGCAGCAGCCAGAATGAGATATTTCTTTCTCAGCTGGTGGTCGATATATAATCAACTGTGATTGTTGTGTAAACAGCATGTCTAAGCTCATAGATTTGGGGGGAAATTAATACACATTTGATAATATATATTTTTATATGTTGTGAAAACAAAATTACTGAAAAAGAAACAGTTTTGGGTACTTGTCAGGCTAGAGCTCTCCCCCCCCCCTCCCTGCATGCACACACACACACACACACACACACAGGTGCTCATATCTTTGAAAATTAATATATGTTTGTATTCCAGGATGGAATAGAAGATACACAGTGTGACAGTTTGGACACTACAGATGGGCACAGTGTAGACCTGACTGACCATAAGGCTGGCAACAGTATGGACCAGAAACCTGCCTATAGGTCTTTAAGAATGACGTATCTGATGGGAAGACTTCATGAGTTAGAGCTCAATCTGTCTCATTAAACTGCAGATATAACAAGGGGGGGTAGTGTTCATATGGGTTACTTTGCAAATTAAAATAAAATTATGCATGAATTTGATTTAGGGCATGCTGCAAAATAGCATTGACAATCTTTTATGCTTTTTTAAAAACTTTTGTGAGAAACAAATGGGTAGTTTTCATGCAGTGCAAGTGTAGAGCTGTCTTAGAGAAACCTGATTGATAAATAGATTAACCTACATGAGTAAGAGTTATGCCTCTCTCATTAAAAAAATAGTATTATAATGTGACCTATGGATTGGCCATATGTTTGTGCCTTGTGATATACCCTTTACTAGGTTACAAGTTATTTATGTATAAAACTGAGTCAGAGCTGTATCTGTCTCCTATAGACCAGTATGAGTGTCTAGATTTACGTCTTTATAATTAGCAATCAAAATTCCATTTTAAAATACAATTTTATATAAGATATGCATAAAGTTTGAAATGGAGTGAAGCAATAACCGCAAGAAATATTGGTGCTATGGTATTTTAACAAATGATATCATATCCATCGGTTTTATAAGCCTGGAATAGTCTTATTATATGGTTCTTCTGATTTATCCAAAATGTTTCAAGAGGTGTTTAAAATATTGCATCTCTGAATCCCTTTATTTATGACTTTGACAAATTGCATTTTAATATTTTTTATAAGCCTTGCTGCTGAAATGGGGATTTCTTTCTCATTTTCTTATATTTCCTACAGGTTTTTGGAAAAAATTTAGAATATTGTTCATTTTTTTCTTTTTTGTTTATTTTGAGATGTGCAATCTGTTTTGAAGATAAAAAATTGGGTTAAATTGTTATTTTGAAAATATGCATATTTATTTTGTTGACAATAGATACAGGTATTTATTTTGTATCAGGATAACTGAGCTTGAATCAAATCATAATGTAACATATCACCCAACTTAATACAATGGTTATCAAAATTTGATCCTGGTGTATGAAAACTGTGAAATTACCGTTGGAAAGCAATAAAACTGAGCTTTTATTTTTACGTAAGTTTACTTTTTACCTTCTTCACATATCGATAACAGAAGTAATCGTATCTGCAACAGAATAAAAAATATTTACCATTATTCTTCATCATAAAGATTGTTGGCATGAATAAAACTGAAGAATAATTGAACTTTTTCCCTCCTCATCATTATAAGACCATTTCATTTAGTAGGTTGATTTGGCCAGCAATTAGTATGTATGTAAGGGCCATTCAAAATTAGATACCTTGCACTATATAGCTTCTGTGCACTCACTCCACGGGAACTTTAGCCAAATGCAATAAGATTAACAGACTAACACAGAGCTGGCGATTATATACGTTGAGAACAAGAGGAGGCATGTGTATCCAGTGGTGGATTTAGAGGGGGGTAAGGGCCCAGGGTCCTGACACCCCCCCCCCCCTTCGGTTTTTGAAAAATGTATCACACCAATTTTCCCCTCTTGAAATTAAAAATTTTAGCTGAATCATAGTTCTAAACAGCACCCAAGGGCAACATTTGGCCTCCAAAACATTTTTGGGGGCCCTTGAGCAGGCCCCGATCCCCACACCAAGGGTGTGATGGTAGGCTTCGCATCCAATGTCTGTCGTTCTGGACCTCCCCCTTCAAATAATCCTGGATCCGCCCCCATTTATCTTTTAATTTGTTTGAGTTTGTGCGCACTAGCTTGTACAACATAACTGGTACTGAACAGCCCCTATTACATTGACTGAATATTTTTAAGTTCCTCTGTGTGACGTGATGTGCCCTCATGATAGGGCTTGCCCCAGGAAATGGACAAATAAGTAATATATGCTTTATATATACTTTCTGCATCAAACTGAGCTAGTGAAAATGTACATAGATAAGTTTTTTTTAAAATCTAGGCTCATGTCTGAATTTGATCTTTATAATTTATAAGAGTGGGTCAATGAATAATCAGAAAAACAGCTGTTGCTTTTGAACACATATCACCTAGCTTAACCACAAACATTAAATCCTTGTAAATATTATTGTAACAGTTGTGCATTGCAGCTTTCCTAAAATTTGAAACTAAAGGCTGATAAGTGGGAAATTAATAGCTGATGGAAGAACTGGAAAGATATATTAATGGAATAATGTAACATAAAAACTAATTTCTTGAAAGACTTAACTTGCTGATATGGTACTCTAAAAAGCATTTCCAAAGTTTCATTGTAATTCTCAGACATTAACTTGGTGATTCAAATGTTTTTATTTGAAGTGAGATAAGCTTGCATGGTTTAATTTAGTCTGAATCAAGCCTTCTCTTCCAATTTTCCACTTCATCATCAGTGACAAGTCATTTTTTATGGTGCCTCTGAACTTCCTTTGTAATAGGCAAATTTTAGCTTAATTTATCAGGCAAGTGCAAAATCTGTTGGAGAGAGTTCAAAAGGGCACTATTCTCTTAATAGATGAATGAAAGACAGCCTAGCTTGGAGTAAATAAGATAATATTGATACATGCTCTTATACAAGATTACAAATACCAGGATGTTTTGATGAAAATTACTGTTCTAGAATCTGATTGCGAATTCCATGAAAAATGATGTCATGTTTGATCAAATTAGATTCAATGAATTGAATGGGGAACATTATTCAACTTTTTCAATCAGTTATAATTTTTATTTCAAATGATATTTGAAGCCTGAAATAAAAAAAAAATTCTGGTGAATATTAAAAAAATGATAAAGTATAGTTTGGGTACGTACGGATAAAATTTAGTCCCAAAATATGACACGTCCCTATACTCCCGTTACCGATAGATACATAAAGGAAAAACTGAAAAAACGTCTTTTTAGATTTAAATACCGATAGATCCGATTTTTTATTGCTGTCCTATATATTTGCGTTCCTATAGATACGACGTCCTCATAAACCCACGTCCTTTAAATAAACATACCTACAGATCCAGAACACTGTTTAAAGCGTTCTCAAAATGTAACATTTGCACACTTTTAAAAAATGTGTTCTGTTTCATGTTTACGACGCGTTCCCGAACTTTAGAGTGTGATAGGCGTGTAGACGCGAACGTACATGTATGTCTTGTTTGAACACCTAATAAATATATAAATACATAAATAAATGAATAAATAATAAATATCAAGTTGTAATCAAGTCAGATCACTAAGTGGATCAGTATTCGCAGCCAGACTGTCACTCGAAAGCCTCATCCCTGAACCACAAGTTGATATCAGCCTTTTAGCCGATTACGATGTCAGATAGATGGATGTAGTGGTACCTGGATCTAAAGATACGTGGGTTTATAGGAATCTGTTGGTGGATCTATCGGAACGCAAATTTAACGAGACGTAAATCTATTGAGACGTGTATGTATAGAGACATATCTATCGGGACAAATATTTTACTGGGACGTTTATCTATATGGTGGACCCCTATAGTTTGATTAAAAATCACTAAGTCAAACCTGACTGATCCATCTTATCATTGTGTGAAAACATGACCAGAGTAAACAGAGTCTCCGGTCTCCAGGTGTACATACACACACCAGGCATGAGTCACCTGCACTGCTGTGATATAACCGCTGTGATATCATCATATACACATGGAAGAAGACGTTGTAAGTCTGCTTTTTTAATTTTTTTTTTTTTGTAGTTACTTTATTAATTCTAGGACTCCATCAGCTTCTCTGTGTTTAGTTTGTGTTTTTAAACCAATTATTTCCTGTTAAATGCTTAGACTGGATCTCTCTCTCTCTTTCATTGTCTTTCCCTCTCTCTCTCTATTCATTTCATATGTCTGTGTGTTTGAGAAGTTCATCAGGGGCCATAAAATACACATATCTGTACATATCAACCTGTTTAATAGGTCAGCCAGTAATTTGTATAGGCCTACCTGGCTTATTCATTCCTACACCAACTCATGTTCCCAGACTGCAACTTGGCAACTTACTATAAGTACATGCATATGATGACCATTAAACTGGTCCATCGCGAGCCAGTTACTTCCAAAGCTGTAATTAATTCTCGACTGCGCTCGGAGGAGATTCTGACACCTTGATGCATGCCCAGTAGTATCTCTAAGCTGTGGAGTTCATCAGTTTAGTTGTGATGACTCAAGCATACAGACGCGTTATATGGCTAGTGGTAGTGCTTGTTGTTGCACAAAATCGATAACTGCGACCGCCATTTACTTTCTAACTTCCTGCTGCGCATGCACCAAGGTATAAGAATCTCCTTAATTAATTACAGCTTTGGAAGTAACTGGCTCACGCTGCCAGTAATTACGCCGCGGTGTATTCAGGGTACAGACCGTGATCACAAGATACCGCAAATAGATTTTTAGAAAGTAGATTTTTCATGTGAACGCAGCCTTAATTGGGGGAATGTCGATAGTCCGAAGGTTCATTGGTCCGAAGGTTCATTGGTCCGAAAAGTGGTAACATTTTCATCGACTTTTTAATCAAGGGTTCATTGGTCCGAAGGTTCTATAGTGAACATTCGGACCAATGAACCTTCGGACTATTGAACCTTCGGACTATCGCTACGGCCCCCCTTAATTAACTGAGTTTCCAGAAATCTAGGTTAAATTTCCAGGAATCTAGTGAAATTAATAGACTGACAACTTTGGCAATGTCCACTTGTGAAGAAAGAGGTGCTCTCAGTGGTATGTTTTATTTGCATTCAATGTTATAATTCTTTCTTTTCTTTAGTTCTGTTTAGTTTTAAGCATTCATTGTACCACCAGCGTAGGCGCTGGCGGTACACATGGTTTTAGTCCCGACCCGCATGTTCCGCCCGCTCCTGCGGCTCCTCTGGCTCCGCCGCCATCTCACCGTTACCGCTTCTCCTCCTAGACGGTAAGGGCCTCCATCCCCATCTCTTGGATTTAGGTCACCTATAATCTCAACTCGTTCCACGTAAAATTTGGGCTTTGTCAGAATTGGGGTCTAGGTGTGGCACTCATTGCAATGCACCCTTGTCCAAAAATGGCAAAATTAAATGCTAATTATCTACCCTACGGAAGGAATTATGGGAAAAATTTCTACAGACGGCTATCCGAAAGTCATATGTGGAGATTTCAAATATGCCCTTGGATTTGACCTTTGACCTTTATTTCAAGGTCAAACGAGTCAAATATTTCAAAAAAACGAAATTTTTTTCGAAAAAAAAATTATTTGCGCTGATATTCAGAAACTACACAGACCTAACCTATAATATTATTGGAAGGTGCTACCCTTCGGGTCATCTTTCATCTCTGTGAATTTGGGGTCAACCGGTGCATTTTCCTGGGAGTAGCGGCCATAATATAAAGAAACTGAAAACTGTCTTTAATTCGGGAACCTTTAATGCTAGAGACCCATTCTTTTTTGCATTTTGTAGAGCATGTAAAGCCCAACACTGTAGGTGGTCTCCGTTTTTTTGTATTCCATACGGTTTTCGAGTGATGCTGTATCAAAAAGTACATTGTGGTGGTGAAAGCAAAATGTGCAATACGGTAATGGATAACAAATTTTGAACTCCGGGAAAATAAAACATAAGGCTTGGCGAGGCAGACAACTTCTGGTCAAAAATGACATTAATTCATGAAATTTGAACATCTGGAACTTCTGAGCACCTCCCATTTCAAGAATTTCAACCAAAATGACCTTATCTTTATTTTAATTTATTTTTTCTGTAGAAAGTTTATGCACATTATTGTAACTCCAAAACTGGAACATTTAGTCCCTTATATCTCCAAAACT